GGTAATTTTTGACTGTGTAACTTTACAAACGGCACCTTGGCCGTTTTCTCTGAACCTGGTATTTTTAAAATAGTTTAATAAAATCTGAAGTAAAAAACATACTAAGATAATTCTAAATTTAAAAAACTCCTTTTTGCAGATGATATGTCTTTGCTGAGGCTAGAATAGTCATACTCTGTGTTTGCAATACACTTGAATACTTTGGTCATTGGGTGCAGCTGTGAACGAAGAAAGAGTTTTGTCTTCAAGTATCCATCAGTCATTGTTCATCTTGGCTGATTCATAAAATCTTTCATTTCACTACATTTAAAAAAACGTCTCTGTTGATATTTCAAACTTGCTGTTTAACAGCCTGAGCACATGGAGGGTTGGGGGCTGCTTCACAGTCCAGGTGTTATATCTAGATTGAGGCAGATACAGGAAGGAGCTGCCATCATGGTTTTTTAGTTAAAGACTTGGCAGGTGATGCTCCTGAGGATTTAGACGAGCTGCCCTGACATGGTGTGATCTTAACATTGATGAAAAGAGAGGCAGGTGAAAGGCTCGACCCATCCAGCTTCAGCAGCCGGACATGACGATAACCTGCAGATGTCAGGGAGGACAGAGGGTCAGGAACACACACACGGAGTTAGACCAGGCATGGTCAGTCCTGGTCCTGGAGGGCCGCAGTCCTGCATGTTTTACTTGTTTCTCTGCTGCAACACACCTGGTATGAACAGATGATTATCAGGCTTCTGCAGTACGGAGGACCAACACTGACATAATTATAAATAAAAGCAGAATTATATGAACCACTAATAAATACACTTAAAATGCATCAATTAAATTAAAAAAGGAGAACTTTATCTCCTGTTTTATATTTTAATTGACTTTCATATTTATATTTCCAGGTTAGTTTCAGTAAATTAGTCTACATATTTGAACACACAATTTAAATTTTACTGTTTTTTCATAAATATTAATTGTTTTTCCTTTTACTTGTACATGAATTTGTGTGTCTTAAATGTTTGTACTTAATTATTTTTATAATTTTGTCCAACAAGTCTTTATTTCTATGTGTTGCATGCTTGTGCCTCAGTTTAGCTAAAAGTTTAAAGTTTAGTGTAAAACAAAGGCAAGGAGGAAAACATTACCTGTGCATTTATTTGTAACAAAACAAAACTTTAAGCTAAACTGCAGCAGCACAAGCATGCAACGAATAGAAATAAAAAGACTTGTAGGACAAAATTTTAAAAATAATTCAATTTAAGCATTCAAGAGACACAAATGCATGTACAAGTAAAA